CACAAAATAATGATCTTTAAAAGAGCATCATATGACCCCTTTAAGCTGTTTTTGTTTTTTGTTTTTCAGCTGGAATCACTGGTAGTGTGATATGCATTTTGGGATCTGCAATGTGATGGAGGGCATCAACCACCAACAAGAAAACATTACGATTTTTATGAATATCAATAAATTGCAATAAACACACACACACACACACACACACACACGGTTTCAAAATTTAAATTGCTGCTTCAACTTTTACATTTACATTCAGTCATTTAGCAGATGCTTTTATTCAAAGCGACTTACAAGTGAGGACAATGGAAGCAATCAAAATCAACTAAAGAGCAATGATATGCAAGTGCTATAACAAGTCTCAGTAAGCTTAACGCAGTACACGTAGCAAAGTTTTTTTTTTTAATTATGTAATAAATAAAAAAACAGATAGAATAGAAAAAGAATAGAGCAATCTAGTGTCAGTCCTTTTTTTTGGATAATTGTATAATAGAAATAAAAAGAAAACAAATACAAAAAGAATAGAGAAGCTAATCTAGTTCAGTAGTCGGCCTAGTTTTTTTTAGTTTAGTTAGAAAATGAATAGAGTGCAAGTCTAAAAAGGGCAAGTTTAAAAAAAAAAAAAAGAATAGAATAGGGAGTGCTAGAGTTAGAGGGTCAAATAAAGATGGAAGAGATGTGTTTTTAGCTGATTCTTGAAGATGGCTAAGGACTCAGCTGCTCAGAGTTGGGCAGGCCATTCCACCAGAAGGGAACATTTAATGTAAAAGTCAGTGAAAGTGATTTTGTGCCAAACGTTTTATTTATTTATTTATAAATCAATCACAACGTACAGTTTATTGCACTTTTAGACTATTTTTAATTAAAAAAAATTATTAGGAAATTTTAAGTGGAAAAGTGAAATAGGCAGGAAAAAATGTTGGGATAATATTTTGACTGTAAATTATGAGTTAATAACACACGAGGTAAGCTATATGAATAGCCTATAAAGTTGCCTATTTAAAAGAATGAAAGAAAGAAAGAAAGAAAGAAAGAAAGAAAGAAAAGTGTTATTTCAACAAACCTTAAACTGCTCAAAGAGTCACTCAGAACCATATAAAATATTCTTATGCAAAGGTTTTGCAAATCTCCAGTGAAACTTGTAAGCAAATTCCTCTTAAGCTTCCACTACCTTTGGTTTGATGTAACCCGGCCCATCTGGTGAAGAGAGTGGCCCAAAACTCAAAGAACTGGGGGGAGAAGTGAAGATAGAGGAGGGCAGATCGGATTGAACAGATCTCCCACCGCACATCACATCTGACGATTCAACAAACTTGCTTGGGGTACATTTCTGTCGTGTTGACAGCTAAATTACTTTTTAATGTTCGAGTAACTACAGTCTTTTGAAGTCGCGTGATGATGGATCGTCAAAGTTTGCGAGATGCAACTGTAGCGCTTCGTCGTCCGCGCATGATGTAGTTTTTCCTTAAACATTTGCTTTTGCAAAACAAAACAAATTCGCCGATGGAGTTTCGTGACAGAAACCAAGGCACTTTTAGCATTTTTGTTTTAAGTACATAACGTTGTTTTTCGGATGCACACTGGACAACTGAGCAACTGACTAACTTTACAGCATCAAAACAGGTAAATATGTATTTCGTTATGATTTACTCTTAAGGTTAGCAAACACAGTGTGCATGCAGTTTCATGGGAACGGAGTTTCCATTTCATTTTATCTCTCAATTGTTTTAAATGTCGCGACATCAACTTGTATTGGAACGTGTCATGTGCTATAGCCATGTTGATGAGAAAAGGATTTAGCAGTTTACTTTTCATAGTAGCTATATTTAGTGACTTGAGCAATCTCAAACTTTTGTCAAGTGTCCTAGGTAGGGATGGGAATCGTAAAGAATTTGGCGATTCTTTTCTGATTCCGATTCTTCTGAACGGTTCCGGTTCTTAAAGATTCGTTTAGTTTTTAGGCTACTGAATGCCATTCTCAGCAGTCTGCCGCCAAATGTCTTGATGATCTGAGATCTGGATATAAGAAATACCAAACAGACTTATGCAATCCAAATAGCCCTAATTATATTAAATATACTATAGCTACAACTAAATGCTATGTTTATAACTTCACGTTGGCGCTTAACTACTCGGATTGAAGTTCTTTAGCCTTGTATACAACATAACAGTACATCAGTAGCCTAACAGCTGATTTATTTCGAGTCCAAACACGACAAAAGTGTGGTTTAGGAAGTGAATCAGATTGATTAAGTAACCGACTGATTTATAAGCTCACAACAGTTATTTGTTCTGGAATCAAACCTCACTTATCGCGTTGTTTGTTTTTAAATCATGAGTTATTCGTGAGCAAACACAGTGTGCATGCAGTTTCATGGGAACGGAGTTTCCATTTCATTTTATCTCTCAATTGTTTTAAATGTCGCGACATCAACTTGTATTGGAACGTGTCATGTGCTATAGCCATGTTGACGAGAAAAGGATTTAGCAGTTTACTTTTCATAGTAGCTATATTTAGTGAATTGAGCAATCTCAAACTTTTGTCAAGTGTCCTAGGTAGGGATGGGAATCGTAAAGAATTTGGCGATTCCATTTTCGATTCCGATTCTTCTGAACGGTTGCGGTTCTTAAAGATTCGTTTAGTTTTTAGGCTACTGAATGCCATTCTCAGCAGTCTGCCGCTAATTGTATTGATGATCTGAGATCTGGATATAAGAAATCCCAAACAGACTTATGCAATCCAAATAGCCCTAATTATATTAAATATAGGCTACTATAGCTACAACTAAATGCTATGTTTATAACTTCACTTTGGCGCTTAACTACTCAGATTGAAGTTTCTTTAGCCTATACAACATAACAGTACATCAGTAGCCTAACAGCTGATTTATTTCGAGTCCAAACACGACAAAAGTGTGGTTTAGAAAGTGAATCAGATTGATTAAGTAACCGACTGATTTATAAGCTCACAACGGTTATTTGTTCGGGAATCAAACCTCACTTATCGCGTTGTTTGTTTTTAAATCATGAGTTATTCGTTCAGGATCAAGACTATGATTTTGATTCACTTCAAAAGAACCGGTTCATAAGAGTCGTTGGCAATCAGGCTACTGTAGGCTGTATGTTTAAGATTGAGTGAAGGCATAGAATTGTAGAAAGCAATGTTGGTGAACCGAACGTCATTAAAATAATTCAGTTCTGGTTTAGAAACATGTAACCGGTTCTCAATAATAAACAGTTCCCGGCTGTTCCCTTAAAATGTAGTCTGTTTGTAAATGCCATGCATAGTTAGTTTGTTCAAGTTCCCAAAGAAGATTTTAAAAAATATGTTATGTCTATAATTTACCAAGCACAACATTTATTTGGTTTTTCTTTGGTTTTTCTGTTGAAACACAAGCTCAGGTAGGTTAACTAGTTGCCAATTTATAAAAAAAATCCTGCAAAGAATTTAGGTATTATCTAAGTTTCACTTTGTGTGTTTAAAGAATTGGCAAAAAAGTGCGGCAAGAGTGTGCCTTGTTTTCCTGAAAAACAGAAAAGTGTGTGCATGTGTTAAATTTAATGTGATGCCCAGTTGAGAGCATTAGCATAAGAATAAAAGGTCTTAGTGAATTTACCATTGTGTAGAATGAGAAGCGCCAGCAGTCAGAGGCAAAGCGAGTGAAAGGATTCAAAAAGAAAAAAAAATGATGGTGCATTCAGATTATTCAGCCTGGTTTGGGCTACGGTCATCAGCTTCTGAAACATGGGTCGACCGTGTCACTTTCATCTTCCCTTCCTTGCAGCTCTGCACATTTTCACACATTTCCCTCTTGTCCTGCTGCCTAAATCAGGGCTGTTCAGCCTTGGAATCCCGCGGGAGATTTTAACAAATGCTCATAAAGGGGGTCTGACATTGCACATTTACCGGCCAAGGACGAGACAAGACAATGTGATGACATTGAAGGAAAAAGTTTTAGAAATACCTCTGCTACCAAATAATGATCTTTAAAAAAGCATCATATGACCCCTTTAATCATTGTCATATTCTTGAGAATACAAATGCAGTTATTTTAATGTACATCCTCAGCAAACTAAATGAATTAATTCTCAAGTTAAAAAGGTGTAACTCTTTGGAATCTCAAAGAGCTGAACTAGACCTAGACTTTATATCTTGGTCAACACTGTGGCAAGACCTTGAATCTCTTTATCGCCACGCAAGAGTGCCTGAAGTACACTTGTGCCTCAAAGTGAATTGATGAGACTTTAATAGCCATTAAAAGTGCTGTGAAAGACAGCTGTGTTACAAGTTTGTGTGCCGTGTTTCTAGTGTCGATCTGAATTGAAGATGAGGGCAGTGTGGTGAGAAAACAGAGATGTGAGAAGTGGTAGCTGCTTACATTCATTTGCCCTCTCAAAGGCTGTTCTTTGAAACCCATCTCCTTGGCTTTGGCCCGTAGGACACGGGACAATCCCTGCATTTTAGTAGCTGGTGTCGGACACCTCTCCAGACATCTGCCTCATTCTCTCACAAGTGTCTGGGGTTAATTAGGATCACATCACATCCGGTTTATGAGTGTGGATGGGGTCCTTCAGTTTTTTTTCTCCCTCTTTCTCTCATGCAACTAGCAGAGCATCATTGTTAAAGGGTTAGTTCACCCCAAAATGAAAATTCTGTCATTAATTACTCACCCTCATGTTGTTCCAAACCCATAAGACCTTCGTTCATCTTCGGAACACAATTTAAGATATTTTTTATGAAATGTGAGCGCTCTCAGACCCTGCATAGACAGCAATGCAACTGAAATGTTCCCAAGTCCAGAAACGTAGTTAGGACATCGGTAAAACACAGTGCATGTGACATCAGTGGCTCAACTTCAGTTTTGCGAAGCTACAAGAATACTTTTTGAGCGCAAAGAAAACAAAAATAACACAATTTATTTAACAATTCTTCTCCCCCGAGTTACATCTTCCGCTTTACAAAATCAGCGAAAGGCCAGAGTTTGATTGATTGACCTCATTAGTCATTGGCAACTTTTGCTTAAAGGAAATAAGGCCCATTACAAAGAGTCCTAGTGCCTCAGAAGAAATAGCAAGTTTTTGTTTTGAGGGACTAGTTGATCTTTTACATATGCTGGAGACTCACCATATGTGTTATTTTTAATAATGCATCAATGCATTTTATATGAATTCCAGATCCCAATGGATTTGGAAAAGGTTGTTGGTGTAATGCATGCTCATGTGCGCGGGTAAAGAAAGTACATGGGCAAGAATGCCGTTCACCTTCCTCTGAGGCCTGTTAAGTTGTAAACCTTCTTCTTTGTTCTCCTTTGCATTTTTTTTCCCTCTCAGACGTGCACTCTTTCATTTCCTTTGTGCTGTGGGCTGGCGAAAGAACAGCTGGAAAATGAACAGTTGAAATGTATACTGTTTACATTAAGTTATATTTGACTTGCCATAGCTGTGACTCTAAACACAGTGAACGGCTAACATTTCCCAAACCACACGTCCACCTGTGATTCATGCAAACCTCCAGACACAGTATGCGGAGGACGGACCTAAATTTATTTTATTAGCTGACCATGAATAAACATCATACTCAACCAAAATTACAAGTCTGTATTTGAATTTTAGATGAGGTGTAGTGACAGCTGAGTACGTTGGAATATCCATAGAACATTAAAACAAGCTGTGGTACTGGGAATTATATGTATAGAAAACGGTCAGAATGAGTTCAGTGGTTCTCAAACTGCATAGGAGTTTCCCACGACTCAATATAGTCCTTTTTCCCTTTGGAATAATTAAGCTTTTTCAGTGTTATTTCTAATGTATGATCTATATTAAATGTTATACAGGAGCAATCAAAGTCCATGCACCACATTGATATTCTTGCACTAAAAAAGTCTAAAGAATACAAATATACATTATACTTGTTATACAGATTGTGAACATTTTAGTTCAATTCTCGAAAGAACATGTAGTGCAACTAGTGTAGCCCAATTCTCAAGCAAGTGACTCTGAATCAATACTACTTCTTAGTAAATTGTGTAAACAGTGTAGATTGATTCCCAATCAGATGACTCTAATTAGTATGTTCTTGTTAGTGAACCAGAAACATAAAGTGCAGTTAGTGTGGACTGATTCCCAAAAATGATTGACTCTAATGAGTCAATTCCTTTTAGTAAATTAAACTCACACTGCTTACTAATCAGTGTTGTTACTGATTGGTTATTCACATGACGAAGTGTCATTTAACATACACATTTTGTATTTTGTCAGTTAAATTAAACGTTTTTGCTTTTTTTGTATTTGTTTAGTGTTGTTATTAAATATTCAGGCCAGTTATTATATTTGTGCTGTCTTAAAATTCTGAGACAACTCAATTAAAGTGTGTTTTTTATACATTTATTACTGAAATTATCTACTATTTATCAGTGGAATTACATTTCTTTTTTCGGAATACTTCTTGAAGCTACTAAAAGAATCATTGATGAAGCTGTTAAGGAACTGGAATTGTTAATATGAATAAAAAAAACCAGTACAGGAATCGATAAATTCTTTACAAATCCCATCACTGTCTTGAATTATTATTTTTTTTGATCAAAGGTGGTACTTATCCTGAAAAGTTTGTGAACCACTGAGTT